TATTACACACCTAGGTGTGATGAACAGCAGACGGGGTAAACCCCATAGTCGCAAGGACCTGCTGTTCAGTGATAGAAACCGGTAACCCAAGGCCCGGGACTTAGAGTGATGAACCACATAAGGCCCCGATAGGTTAGGCGTGATATTGAACCGGACGACAGCAAAGCTGCCTACCACCAAAATTGGGTGGCGGTGGCGGGGCTTGAACTTCGGATCATAGGGTCCAAAGCACGCCCGTGACAGCGACCAAACCACTGCACTACCATAACTGAAACAGGTCCACTTTCATAGACTACGGTGGTTGAGATGTGTATTGCGCATGTCACCAATTAGATTACCACGGCGCGCGATGTTTGCCGAGGCAGGCAGCGGATGGAAACGGGTCCATGGCGGTCAAACTAAACCGTGGCATGAGGATATGAAAACCTCAATCAATGGGCTGGGTCACATAGGTACCGTTGAACTCTCTGCATGAGGACCCCGGTGCTTGAAGACGATGAGTGATGGCTGTCGCAAACAGTAGTACTCGTGCACCTGGTAATTATCGTTGCAACCTTAGTCCACGTGAATTCTCTATCTCCTTGGACTCTGCTCCCAACATTCCATCATTTCCTCTGCTTTTTTATCTTTCATCCAAAAGCGGTGCCTGAAAGTGCCTGATTAGTTTTTGGAAAAAAAAACTAAACTGGGCTAAATGAGCTTTTCATGAATTTGTGGTAAAATATCGTGAGAACTAATTTATAAAAGCAATGTTGTGGTGGTCAAGTGGTTGAGGGCAGTATTTTATTGTATCGGCCCCAAGGTTGGTAGGTTAGATCTTTATACTCCGCCCGACCTTTACATTCTGTCTCTAAGTAGCGTTGATTGTGCAGAAATGAAGTTTAAATGTTGTACCGCACGATGTGCAATCTTCGAATGAGGACATCAAACGATACTGCATAAGAGCATCAGTATACCGTGCTATCTACCTAGTTGCTGGTAAATGGGTTCGAGCTTTAGGGATTAGGGATCAGCAGATTGGTGACGATGAATTTGATGTTTGGTCGCTTGCACAATTTAACTCAAGGAGCGATTCATCAAATCGCTCGTGATGTACTTAACGTATTACTTCGCATTTGTGGAAATTAGTTTGTGATTTGTATTTCCAAAACTGATTGCAATTTTGTTTTTCTAAAGCAACTAGAATATATTCGGCGATCTTTTGTACTCTTATGATTGATTTGTTAGTACTTTTAGCCCGATGAATTGTTACAGGTGACCCTTTTTATCTGAGTATTTCTAATTACCCGACTATCCACTTCTTGAAAACAAGTCGGCTTCGTAGATATTATCCATGGGGTTTCCTTGGAAGATTACATAGTGTACTGACTCTGGTACTGTTCGGGGTTATCTTGCTTCTCTGTTGCCCTGTCTGAACCCTGATGGACCGATAGCATATCATGCGACCTTTTAGTCTGATATTGAATGTGTAACATTTTTACATCCAATGGCAGCCTAAAAATGGGGGGGGGGGGGNGGGTTATTCCGGACGAGCGACTAGCCTATTCTGTAGTTCCTTATTCTCTTCCGGAAACCATTTGCGATAAGTGACCCTACTTAATGCGATTTAGAGACTTACACGTTGTTTCATGGTGGAATGTTCGTCAAGCAGCTTCCCACCGCATACTTGAACATTGCCACTGATCGTCCGCTACCGCTTATTTGGTGAGTCTAAGATCACCTTATTCACGTTTAGCAGACTTCCTTTCTGCAACTTCCGGACGCACCCGATGCCTTACAGCGCTGGTTTCAGTACCGTAATACCGACCAAATATAGCGAAAATAACATGGGACTACTTCGTGGGTATTAGCTTTTCCTTAAGGACAATGTTGCTTCAGCAGTACCTTAGGTTGGTAATGGCGCTTATGCAAAATGGTTTGTGCACTGCCGTGTTATGTACACTCCAACTGTGCATAACAAAAAATCGTATTGTC